CTCGAATTGCCATAAATTTATTTACGGTAGTTTCGGTTAAATTATCAGTACATTACATCTCTCCTCTGCCTCTGCATCTTGCGCCGCTCTCCGCCTACCGTCGACCAATAAAAGGTTTGTGAATCTGAGAATAAATATAATCTGTATGATCTTATCAACGTTTAATTAGTATCAGACACGAAATAATAGAGATGTATCACTTATTTCTATGATCTAGGTCAAAGATGAAACAAAAAAATGAAGAAAATTCTTTCAGAAAATATGAAAATGTCCAGAGAATAATTATATTTGGGCGATTTTGATTTTATCATTAATTAAATTGTTATTGATTATGCAAGCATATTTTTGTATGCAAAACGGGAGCTGATGGATTATCATTCTTTTTTGGAGTTTGAATATGATCGCTAAAACACTTTTGTGACTCTGTCAATTGGCCTCTGTTCTTGATGAACATAAGCCAGAGATTGTCAGTCTGATATATTAGTACGGAGTTATTAATATTTTGAATCAATGTTGAAATTACAGTTCTCACGGAATCATCAGTTGACGAATTTACCATTTTATTATACTCAAAGTTTTTAGCTCATCCTTTCGCCATTACATTTTAAATTCCTCACTAAGAGTTTTCATTGCTAATTATCCTATATGAATCCTTTGAGGCGTCGCGCACATCAATGCAAGAACCCGCTCAAAAATTTTATAGTTCTATGGTACTTTTGTTACTATCTCAACACCAAGATGTATGTTTCCAGCCACTCCTTGAACATTATGCATAGATGAGGGAAATCTTCCTTTAAGACTAAGAGGTTGTCTGGTGCCACTACTAATCAGAATTCCAACCGTTATGGCCACACAATTTGACTTCTTTGTAAGAGGGTGGGCCCCATTTTTTAAAAACTAACAGTCAAAAAAGCCCAGTTTTGCTGATTTTAAGCTGAACCAGACAGGCTCTAATTTTACATCTAAGTGTTGTTTTCATCGCAGTGGAAGTTTATTCAGAGGTTTTTGATATAGCCTATTTTAGAGAG